TGGCCTCAACCCCCCAGACCCCCCCAGCCAGCACAGCTGGCTGGGGGATTCTGGGAGTTGAAGTCCACAGGACTTAAAGCTGGCTGGGGGATTCTGGGAGTTGAAGTCCACAGGACTTAAAAGTCGCCAAGGTTGAGAAACACTGTGCTGAAAACTTCCAAGTATTTATATTTATTAAATTGTGAGTTTCCACCCAGCTGAATTTTCAAGCGGAGCTTACTGAATTACCTTTATGATTTAATTGATTAAAATGAATAGGAAAAATGACTTGATTGGGGCTGGGGGGGAATAAATGAAATAGCAATGCTACCTTAGACCCAATAGATAGCATTATTTTGCAATGGCAAAACCATATTCTTGAAGGGTTAAAAACTGATAAACTATTTCAGAATGAACAGTCTCTGGCACTTCGTAATAAATTATGTACCCTTTTACACCAGCAATCTTCTAATTGTAAATTGTGAGTCATGCCTGGCTTTGCTTCTTGCCTAATTATACAAGTAGCTTTGACAAACGACATCCTGCTTCCTATGGCCAGCTTCGGTGACCTTGTCATTATTACTAATGGGCAGTTGTAGCTGCTTCAAGCAAAATAAGCAGCTTCAAGTTTTTTAGCTGCTAAATTGTTACTTAGCCTATTCTTTCCCTTTCACGCCAGAGCACCAAAAACTGGAGAGCAGCGGTTGATCTGTGCGGACGGCTTCTGACAGCCCATGGCCAAGGCTACGGCAAAAGCGGACTCCCCACCAGTCACACAACAGACTCTCTTCAGGTATGTTTGCCTGCAGAGCAGGCAGAAGTTAGGATGCATGTTAAATATGCACACCTTAAACATGTGAGAGTGAGCAATTGGCTCCACATTAAAGATCTACCCAGAAATATGGAACACAAACTGGATACCTCCAATGTTTCCTCCAGTTATTCCCCGACCTTCCTTAAGATTCTTTCAGAGGGTTGATAAATAATTCTTGCAGTTATGAATGGAAAAAAAAACCAAGGTTGACATTTCTCACGTAAACGGTTCATTTTGCTTTGGTGCCTGGGAAAAGTAGATAAATATTGCCTTTGGTTGTTCTAGCATAGAAATATATGCGATGACCATAGTGAGAAAACAATTGAATTTTTGGTTAGATTTTAAGATGCATTAACAATTAACAAATGTTTTCATGAGTGCGGCAGATTTAACATCCTGCAAATATTTCTTTATAAGGAATTGCAACATCTAAATTAGAAATATTGAGGACCAAAAGATAGAAAAATGTTTTATTAGTAAACTAAATGTTTGAAAGACCCAGTAAGGCAGGGCTGTCAAACTCCCAGCCCGCAGACCGGATGTACCACGTGGTAGCCCCACCCAGTTTAGCGAAGGGGGGAAAGTCACGTGATATGTCACGTGACGCCGCCATGACAACATGAGTTTGACACCCCTGCAGTAATGTATCTGCATTTTGAACCTCTTACGACATTGTCGACTAGACAATGTCGTCTGGCGTCTCCTCGGGGGAGGGCCTTCTCTGTAGCTGCCCCGGCCCTATGGAACGATCTGCCCCCTGAGATCCGGACCCCCCCCACT